CCCAATTAATTTAATTTTCTCGCAGGTAATCCTTTTTGGGCTTTTCAATGTGTCCTTCGGAAGTTAGTCTGTCAAGCTCTTTGCTTACTGCCTGAAGTAGATGTAGCGGAACCTTACGACCCTTAAAATGTATTGGTTTTAGCGGGTCGTGAAAATGAGTATTCTCGAGTTGTTTTTTTTTTACCGACCCTGTTAAATAATTGCTTGAGTTTTTTTGAAAAAAAATCCATTCTTAAATAATCTGACGGAGTTAAGAAATGAGTTTTTTTTTCAATGTTGTTTTTTTTTAGTGTGAAAAGGGTTTTTGTGCGACTTTGATTCCAACGTGTGGTTGATTGTCATTTCCTAGGATGTTTTGTTCATGGTCATTGGTTATGAAGAAATCTGTATTGTCGTAAGTCCCTCCGTTGGATCTTATTGGTACGATGACTTGTCACACAATCTTTAAGAAGCCGCAGTAAAGGTCTTTCGTAGCTTGGTCGACTGCATTAATTTTCAATTTTGGATCGCGCAGTTTAAGTTCGTGTAGTAATTTCTTTTCAAAAAAGTGTACTGGGCTAGCTGAATATATCTGTATATTTAGTTGTAAGAACTCGCGAAACTTTCCTTTCCCATTCTAATGTTAAGTTATTTCTTCAATTCTTTTCCGTCGTTATCGAATAACGTAGTCTTGTTCAATACCGAATAATTGTCGTTATCGCTTTGTCCTGTTTCCTACCATGCATTAGACACACCGCAACATTCTTTATGTACATGATTATTTACAGCAGGTTGAATTGACGGATTTACGAAATCGGTATCTCGCTTTTTCGATTATTTACAATATTTACGTCTTTTCTTCAAGATTTACAATTTTTCGTGAAATTCCTTTAAAATCGCGTACTTTGCCGGACAGATAGCGAGATGTCCTTTTGTTTTTTTGCCTCGCATTTCATGTAGAAACATAAAGAACATGAAGAAATTATAAAAAACATTTTTAATACTCTCGACAAAAATAATTTTGCGGTAAAATAGCCAAAATGCAATTTGTTCAAAAAAGAAATCGAATTGCTAGGTTTCAAAATGTCAAAAACAGCAGGAATCCCTCTGGAAGATAAAACCTTAGCTATAAAATCTATCCAAATCCCTCGAAACTTAAAGGAGTTGCGATCCTTTTTTGGATCAACCAATCAATCAGTTTCTGACGACCATAACTTAGCCATAGTTTTTGAAAAAATTGGATCAGAAAGTAAAAACCGAAAATACACACTTCGATGGCAAACTGAAAACAAAAGTTAAACTGGTCGCATCACACTAGAGTAAAAATTACACTTTTTACATCACAAAGTAAAAACCGAAATTACACACTTCGATGTCAAACGGAAGACAAGAGTAAAATTGGTCGCAGGGCACTTTTACACATCGGCCTCGTGCAACGCTTGAACAACTACACGCAAAAATTTCAAATTTTCAATTTCTTTTGCTATCCATTTCCTAAACCCACACGAAGCTAAATACTCAACGAATGAACTCGAAATTTTCGATGCCGTTTGGGAACACTACAAAAATTACTTATACATTCGGAATTTGAAATCATAACCAACCATAAAGCCCTTTTATCAGCATTATCTTGTAACAAGTAAAACAAAATCTATCATAGCCGCTCAACAAGATGTGTAGACAGATTTTTATTGCTCTATTTCTCGATAAAACAGCTAGCGGGTTAAGATATGGTCTTCACAAGTTTGTACTCAACTTTTTCAATTGGAAAACCAATTGCTCCATCAAATTATGATGGAGAGTTCGTTGTAGCAACGTTTAGCTAAATCAATTCAACCATAAATCCAAAGTGAATCATAAATCCGTCGGATGTTCAGTAATTAGACAACTAAAAGCCTTACTCAAACTTGATTGAACAACTTGCGGAAAATCCAATGACTTAAATCAATTAAATTAAATTTTTGCATCATTTTTAAACTTAGCTAGACCCAGATTCAAAATTTGCAACTTTAATCATTTCCGGTCCAAAGTTTGTACATCTAATTGTTTTCCCTTGGCTTATTATGTAAATGAAGAAAATTTTGTAGATTTTGCAGGTCCATTACATTCTTCGTGGCACCATTCTAAATATCTCCTACTCTGTATAGATAGATTCTCCAAGTTCTCTTCGGCAAAAATTACTTGAAGCACTTCATTCAAAACAGTAATTGAATTTCTTACCGATTTTATATATCTTCATGGAATCTCAATCTCAATTCGAATCGACCACGCGTCGTGTTTTAGGGGACCAGTTTTTAAACAATTCTGTGATTCGCACAACATTAATTTCATATATGGTACAGCTGCCGACCACCCTTCCACTGGATTAGTGGAGAAACTCGTTCATACTTTCTAATCCAAGTTACAAACAATGCCTTCGGATCTTCCAAAACCTACTTTTATGACTCAGTCTCCAAAATCATTTGGAACCTACGGAGCACAAAACAATCAATTGCATTCCAGTTGAAAAACATTTCAACAGATTACCAAATCCTCTATAGAAAAATTCGATCAACCTAACAAGTAGTAAATTTTTAGACTACGGAAAATCAAAAATGTCAAAAAACAGGGCAAAAAACTGGGCGTCGGGTGAGAAAAGAGAAGATGGATACCAGGACACTCTTTTTGTCAACAAAAATCGAAACCCCGAAGACAAAAGGCACGTTTCATTACCGAGCCCTTTGCCAGTCAAGACACTCTCACCGATGAACTCAAAAAGAATGGCACTTCTAAAGAAATGTAAAATAATCCGAAAGGTTTTGAATCGAAGAAACGTAGAGCCTTATGTTCGACCTTTGGCAGAGAAAATAATATAGTCGTCTCATTCAACGTGAAACTTGCTTGCGGCAAGATCTTAAAAAATCGGACATAGCCATAAAAGATAATTAATCGAAACAGCCAAAAATTTTCAGAGGTCACTGTCTTTGATTTTATTAATTTATCAAGACACTCTCAGCGACGAACCCAAAAAGAATGGCACTTCTAAAGAAATGTAACATAATCCGAAATCTTTTGAATCGAAGAAACGGGGAGCTTTATTATCGACCTTTAGCAGAAAAAATAATACATTCGTGTCATTCGACGGTGAAACTTGCTTGCGGGAAGATCTTAAGGAAATCGGACATAGCCATAAAGGATAATTATTCGAAACAACCAAAAAACTTCAAGGTGTCACTGTCTCTGATTTTATTAATTTATCTGAAGTAGAGTCGAAGAAGTGAGAAGCGTGCGCTAGACAAGAAGTGGCCATCATCCCGTCGCACAACATAACAAGAACTAAATTTTCCTCAAAGAAATTGGGACAACTAGGAAAACATTTCCAAGAAAAAAGACAAGGTTCCAACCCGAAGAAAAAGAACGGAAAATTTTCTGACCAGGTTACTTAGCCGAAGATGAATCGTTTTATTTACCCTTCGATACCTCTGATTTAAGCCATTGAAATGGACCGTAGGCGGTTTTCCATATAAAATTGTAGGCAGAGAAAGATTCATTAACTACCTATATAATTGTGAACAACATCTTAGTTGCAAACAAATTCCTTCGGATAATCACATTAAATCTGAAAATGTAGATTTAGATTGGAATCCCCAAGGAGCATTAGCTGATTGTTCGAAAAGCATATTACCGGCGACTCCCTCTGCTCTGCAATTTGGATTAGAAATCCCTGAATTGACAGAACCCCCTTCAACATTCGATTTCTACGCCCTCACGCCAGAAGCGATTCAAACAGCCAGAGTAAAACATGCCCCGCCGGTGATACTGGGCTAGAAAGATGATTTCGCAGATGAAATCTATCCTACGAAATGGGAGAGTCGTCCCCTGAACGTAATATCCTAATTCCTTCTTGACCAAGGCGAAACGTGGGACCACCAAATTTTTATTGTGAAAGGTTGTATATAGATGTTATAGGCAAACAAGCATCGAGGACATTGGATAACCACTTCACACTTAGCGAGGTCACGGTCAGCGACAACATCTAGGAAAAAGAGAAGGATTCCTCTGAAGTTTTGGTCGCCCAATCAGTCGAGAAATCAAGTCCCATCAACTCGCAAGATCCGACAGAAGTAGTGCCCGAAATGAGATCGTTCATAGAAGAAGAAAAAAGGAGCTTCTTACGCCACTGCCGCCTCAGTATTAGAAAATTAAGACGATTCGGACATCGATTCAGGTTTAAATAGACAATTCAAACAGTTCCTAAGCAACTTTGAACCCGCAAGTAAAAACTAAAACTTGAAACTTAATTTTTCTCGTTCGGATTTTTGTAAACAATTCATGTTTAGCGGAGGTGCTACCTTTATCCTAGCCATTATCAATTCGAAAGAAATATTTTCCTTTCGTCGACCCTAACCGTTGGTGCAGTAACTATTTAAAATTACTTTTAAATTTGTTTCAGTTTTTTTCCAAAGAGTTAAATATTCCGTCGGATTAGTTTCACACAACCCAATTTCATATCCCATACTTTTATTTTCTAGCTATCAATTTTCTTTAGCAAGAATTTACTTCTAACCATCTGACGTTAGGAAATTTAATGTTGAAATAATTCAATCAAGTCTTATCACATTGAATTCTACCAAATTCCACCGAATATATCAATTTGCACTGATCAAAATTTTTTGATCTTTGTCATCACTCATATTGTGCAAGTTCATGGTTTTTTTAATTGTTAAAGAGTAAGTAAGCCTTGCATCTGTTGTTTCTTGGTGCTATCTAGTTAATAGTGATTTTTCGTTATTTGTTTCTCCTCGTTAAGGATAGGGAGAAAATGATCACCCGTTT